AGCCCTGAACTGGGATCAAAATATCGCTATTTTGTCCCTAAAAACCGGTCTGTTTTCTTTGTTTTTTCACTGAAAAACGATTAGGAGTGTTAATATGGGCTATATAAGTCATAATATTGATATACTATACCCCTCTGAGTTTGTTCAATATCCGAATTAAGGTGCTTAACTCAGATATTCGCAGTTCGGTGAAGGGTCACTACAGTGCTGCACTGTCGAGCCCCCCACAGATTACTATCTTAATTTTTGTACCGAAAGGGATACAAAACTTGTTAACGATACCCAACAGTCAATTTGTTTTGTCGTTGATCCCCTTCTTGTCGCTCCTTGTACTGCTTGCCGGATCAGTCTTCTCCCAAGACCCCTCCGGAGCCTGACCCTTCCTGATTGAGCGCAAATTAGCATTAACGTGCTTAAATACTCAAACAACCCTACAGTACAAGCCTCACAAATAGGCTACAAAAATGATCGAATTGATCTTGACTGATATAAATGCCTGTAACAACAATATATCTATCAACAACAAACGGGAGGGTCGGATCACATCTTGTCTGGGGGGATGATTTCTACTGATTTTTTTACATTTATTTTTTTTTACTGTTTTTGGTTTTTTCAGTTGTTTTTTTAATGTTTTTTGTTTTTCTTGGGTACTATACTACTTCTTGTTTGGTTTTATGTATATCTTTAAGTGTTTTTGGTCACAAACCTCTCAGGGAACTAGGGGATGGCCGATCCCCCCACCGTTCCTGATTCGTGAATTTTCGGTCTTAACTAGGTTAAAAAGCTATTCACGGTAATCCAGAAGGCTTCCGCGTTCCAAACTACCCTTCCGCCCGGCGGTTTTGGCCTATTAAAGGCGTTAATGTGAGCATCTGCTCGGCGCGGAATGCTGGTTAACGGTTCTGCCAGTCATGATGTTAAAAAAGAATAACACCCAGGAGCGCCATAAAAACATCTATGTAACATTCGCCCGGAAGATACATATCGACGGAAAAAAAAGCTAGGTTCTAAGACGACTGGCCAACGTCTAAACAGAGCTCTACATATATTTTCACCGTCTCTACCAAGCCAGTTCTTTTTCTTTGGTCTTTTCAACATCGGGTCGACAAAAACGTTACTGTTCTCCGGCTTCGACCAGAACGCTCAAATTAACTTATTTACATGCAGAAATAGTGAGCTCATGGCTGGGTCTCAGTATCCTCAGACCACGAGGTCACTCCTAAAATCAGGGCTAGTACTATTTATTATATTACTATTGTTTTTGTTCAGTAGATAAAAATCATCATCTCGTTCGAAGATGGATCAACCCTTTCCCCCAACTCCTAGCTTCTCATCCCAGCAAAATGAATTCAGATGTTAATTAAATTCCTCAAAAGACCTCTATTTTCCTTCCGGAAGGCTGTCTTCTACCCTTCACCGTTGTTCGCAATGGCCTTGCAACTATTGTAGCGACACAATAGTTGCAACTCGGAACGGTCTCTGCTATTTCTGCTCGTCTCTAATTCCGATTCTAAGTTTTTTTGTTGTTATCGTCGCAACTACTGTTGTTGTTGTGTTTCATTTCAGTTTTTCTTCCAAAATGGCCGTTTCTGACGTTTCTCAGAAATATGACGTCATACTTCGAAAACTTAAAAAAATGAAACACCAGAATATTCTGGCCTTCACAGTTTGGCTAATCGTTCCAATAACACAGCTAATCCTTCAAAACTGCTAATTCGGAAGGTTAGCTGCTAACATTTCGAATCTGTATTTTCGTCCATTTTGGTCGAATGTCACATGAGTTCAATGAGATGGTACAGATTGATCACCAAAAAATATGCATGACAGACAGTGGCTACAATCAGGTCTTGGTGATGATCGATCACTTCACGAAATATGCAGAGGCCGTGCCCTGCATAACTGCATCAGCAGAAGAGACATGCGATCATCTCACTAATACGTGGATAGCGATGTAACATTCGCCCGGAAGTACATATCGACGGATAACAAAGCTAGGTTCTAAAACGACTGGCTAGCGTCTGAACACAGCTCTACATGCTTTTTACCGTCTCTGCCAAAGCCAGTTCTTTTGGTGGTTTTCCTAACATCGGCTCGACAAAACGTTACTGCTTTCCAGCTTCGACCAGAACGCTCAAAATAACTTAATTCTATGCAAAAATAGTGAGCTCATGGCTGGGTCTCAGTATCGCCAGACCATGAGGTCACCCTTAAAAACAGGGCTACTACTATTTATTACATTACTATTGTTTTTGTTCAGTTGATAAAAATCATCATCTCCATCGAAGATGAATCAACCCTTTCCCTCACTCCTAGCTTCTCATTCTCTGAAAATGAATCTGGATGTTAATTGAATTCAACTCAGGGCATGAACAGGAAGCTAAAATTTGTATAAAACAGTTTGAGTCTTGGGCCCGAGACCCCTCCGGATTCTGGAATCCGGGGAAATGGCACTCCTATTTCTTTCCGGAAGGCTGGACACGTCGTCCCAACACCCTTCCTCGTTCGCGTGAATTGCTCAGAAATGATTGTAGCGGCACAATCGTTACAACTCGGAGTAATTTCTGACAATTTCTGACCACAAGTTCAATCTTCTGCCGTTTTTTCGTAGTTGTTTTAGCTGCAACTATTGTTGTTGTGTTTTTCTTCTGTTTTTAGCAAAATGGCCGTTTTAGCATTCCTCAGAAATGTGACGTCACAATTCGAATTTTTTTAAATACACATGTCAGTTAACACCGACCCTTCCCGATTCATCTGTTCGTTCAAACAACGTCGCTTATCTGTTAAAACCAACAATCTTCCAGGTCAGATGTTC